GGGGCTGGGATTTTTTTCCGTAGTTTTTTTCCGTTTTTTTTTGTAGTTTTTTTCTGGCTTGCTGGTCGGGAACCTCTTGGGTCGAGGGGGTACTGAGCCCTCCCCTATAAACCCTATATACCCAGGGTTTAGGGTTTAGGGTTTAGGGTTTAGGGTTTAGGGTTTAGGGTTTAGGGTTTAGGGTTTAGGGTTTAGGGTTTAGGGTTTAGGGTTTAGGGTTTAGGGTTTAGGGTTTAGCTTAAAAAAGCGGGGGGTTGGGGGGGGGCGCAGCCCAAGCGGGGGGGGTTGGAGGGGGGAGCAGACCCCACCCCCCATTTGCAAACTCAAATGCTTGCATGTGAGTTGCTTGCATGGAGGGTTTAAGATTCAATGCTTTGAAAACGCTACAGCGGGGGGGGGGGGGGGGGGGGGGGGTGGGTTAGGGTTTAGGTTTAGGGTTTTAGGGTTTAGGGTTTAGGGTTTAGGGGTTTACGGGTTTGAGGGTTTAGGGGTTTAGGGTGAGGGTTTAGGGTTTGGGTTAGGGTTTTAGGGTTTAGGGTTTAGGTTAGGGTTTTCGGGGTTTAGGGTTTAGGGTTTAGGGTTTTTTAGGGGTTAAGGGTAAGGGTGTAGGTTTAGGGTTAGGGTTTAGGGTGTTAGGGTGTAGGGGTAGGGGGTGTAGGGTTTGGGTTAGGGTTCAGGGTTTAGCTTAAAAAGCGGGGGGGTTGGGGGGGGGGGGGGGGGGGCGCAGCCCAAGCGGGGGGGGGGGGGGGGGGGGGGGGTTGGGGGGGGGCGGGGGGGGCAGCCCCCCCCCCATTTGCAAACTCAATGCTTGCATGATGAGTTTGCTTGCATGATGGGTTTCAAGATTCACATGCTTTGAAAGAAGCTAAAAAGCGGGGGGGGTTGGGTTTAGGGTTTAGGGTTTAGGGTTTAGGGTTTAGGGTTTAGGGTTTAGGGTTTAGGGTTTAGGGTTTAGGGTTTAGGGGTTAGGGTTTAGGTTAGGGTTTAGGGTTTAGGGTTTAGGGGTTATGGGTTTAGGGTTTAGGGTTTAGGGTTTAGGGTTTAGGGTTTAGGGTTTAGGGTTTAGGGTTTAGGGTGTAGGGTGTAGGGTTTAGGGTTTAGGTTTTAGGGTTTAGCTTAAAAAAGCGGGGGGGTTGGGGGGGGGCGGGGGGGGCAGCCCCCCCCCCATTTGCAAACTCAATGCTTGCATGATGAGTTTGCTTGCATGATGGGTTTCAAGATTCACATGCTTTGAAAGAAGCTAAAAAGCGGGGGGGGTTGGGTTTAGGGTTTAGGGTTTAGGGTTTAGGGTTTAGGGTTTAGGGTTTAGGGTTTAGGGTTTAGGGTTTAGGGTTTAGGGTTTAGGGGCTAGGGGTTATGGTTTAGGGTGAGGGTTTAGGGTTCGGTTTTTAGGGTTTAGGGTTTAGCTTCACAAGCCGGGGGGTTGGGGCGGGGGGGGGGGGGGGGGGCGCAGCCCAAGCGGGGGGGTGGGGGGGGGGGCGCCAGGCCCCCCCCATTTGCAAAACTCAATTGCTGCATGAGCGTGCTTGCATGATGGGTTTCAAGATACCCCATGCTTTGGAAGAAGCTAAAAAGCGGGGGGGGTGGGGTTTCGGGTTTGAGGGTTAGGGTTTTTAGGGTTTAGGGTTAGGGTTAGGGTTTAGGGTTTAGGGTTAGGGTTTAGGTTTAGGGTTTTTAGGGTTGAGGGTTAGGATTTAGGTTTCGGGTTTTAGGGTTTAGGGTTTAGGGTTTGGGTTTAGGGTGTTAGGGTTAGGGTTTAGGGTTAGGGTTTTTAGGGTTTAGCTAAAAACGCGGGGGGGTTGGGGGAGGGGGGGGGGGGGGGGGGGGGCGCAGCCCAAGCGGGGGGGGCTGGCTTGGTTGCTTGCTTGCTTGCTTGCTTGCTTGTTTGCTTGCTTGCTTGATTGCTTGCTTGCTGGTACCGTTGCTTGTTTTCCTTGCTTGCTTGCTGGCTCGCTTGCTTGCTTACTTGCTTGCTTGCTTGCTGGGCCAGACGGCCGGAAAAAAACTACAAAAAAACGGAAAAAAACCACGGAAAAAATACCGCCACCTTCGGGTTTAGGGCTTAGGGTTTAGGATTCTGGCCTCAAGAAACTTGAAGCCAACAAATTCCGAGATCCCGAAACTCAGCCCACCCCGGAAAAGAAGGTACAAGACATCTGCCCCTGCCTCACGCTGCCGGCCGTCGTATATGAACTTCGTCCGTTGGCCTTTCCTCGGAAGGCCACCATGAACGCATCAAGTGCCTTGACCAAAACCAACTTTAGGGTTTAGGGTTTAGGGTTTAGGGTTTGGGGTTTAGGGTTTAGGGTTTAGGGTTTAGGGTTTAGGGTTTAGGGTTTAGGGTTTAGGGTTTAGGGTTAAATAACCCACAAAGTCTGAACCCAGCCCCAGGCCAAGGCATGATCTATGCGGCTATGCTGTGGGATAACCAGATCATGACGAAGCTTGGAAGCCTTACCCTCCGAATCCCTGCAGCCTCAACTAAGGTTTAGGGTTTAGGGTTTAGGGTTTAGGGTTTAGGGTTTAGGGTTTAGGGTTTAGGGTTTAGGGTTTAGGGTTTAGGGTTTAGGGTTTAGGGTTTAGGGTAACTCTTCAAATCCCTAACCCCTAGATTCGTAAACTCTGAACCAACAAGAGCCCTAACGACCCTGCATCTTTAAAACGAAAGGATGCTTAAGGCTGAGTCCCACGCCCTTTAATCCAAACTTGCGAACCCCAACGCTAGTGCTGACTGTGTTGTCGTTGCTTCCCGCAAACGTACACCCGAAAACGTAATTCGCAAAGAGAAGTTCAGCCCGTTATCTGGGGTGCCTCAGCTTGGCTAAGGCCTAGGTGTTCCCTAGTCCAGAAAGGAAACCCTAAGCCCTAATGCCTACAGCTCGGACGACTCCTACTTTGAAGAATTTTGCGCACCAAATGAGCTTAGCATGTAATGAAGGGTTTTTGGGTGGTCTTGTAGACCACAAGCCTGAAGCCCTGAACCCTAGCTTGCGCTCAACTTCGCGTCAAGCCACTCCAGGTAGTACCTGGGCTGTGAACCCATGGCTTTGATGAAATTGAGTTTAGGGTTAAGTAGTTTAGCATTGAGACAGTAGGGCTTCATTGGGGTTTAGGGTTTGCTTAATTAACACTTGTTTGGGGGTTTAGGGCTGGGTTCAGGGTGCGGGCTTCATGGCTGGAACTTCCTATTTGCTTCATGAACTGTGGTTCGGGCTTAGGGCTTGAGGCTCCAGAGTTTACCCACACACACATACACACAAAGCCCTCTAGAAACCTAAATCCGAAACTCGAGAGCCTAAAGCACTTAGAGCGCCGAAAACCCCAACTCCAAACCCGCAATCGTAGACAAAATGAATCAACTTCTCCTTGTTATTGATTTTCCATTGGGTTCGATAGACGATAAACGAAATTTAATTCCTTCGTAGACAAGAATAATCGATTTTTCGATTTTACAGATTTGTATATGCATGTCCAGATGATGAATAAACAACGATAGCAATCGAAATGCAATCATATTTCATTGATATTGATATTTCTTGACAATTCTGAAATCTTGGTTTTCACAGTAAAATATAAAAAATCGGAATCGATCTAAACTGTTACAATGCTCATCGATTTTTATAGCTATCAATTATAGATCATGATCTTCCCAGAAGATTTGATATGCTCCGGAAACCCAAAGAAGCTTGAAAGCCCTAGAGAGCTCGCATTAGAGGCCTCTTCGGACCCCTGAGCCTGTTTGTTTGGGACATTCCACCCCCCCCATAAAGCTACGAATTTCGAGGTTTCTAAGCTTCGGGGTTTAGGCTTTATGTAGGCAGCTCATAGGGTTGTTGGGCTTCAGAGGGTTTGCAGGATGTGCAGGGCTTCTAGGTTTTCGAGGGTGCATGCGCAAGCCCTGCAAGGGAGCCAAGCTGCTTCCGGCCCACGGCAAAGAGGTTGACGCTGAAGAGGAGCAGCGTGATGACCACGAGATCCATGAAGGTGTGTGCCTGTAAGGGCTTCAAGTTCAGGATTTGGGGTCTTCGAGAGATGTTGTTTTTGGTTTAGCGTTTAAAGAACATTAGGGTAGATATTTTTTTTCAGGGGGGGGGGGGTGTGCGGGGTGGGGTTTCCCAAAGACGGCAAGCGAATCCGAAAGCAGAAATACAGGAATACCACGGTCGCTCGAGGATGCTATTCTGAGACCGACCATGGTACACAACTGTAGGCAACCTGCACCCAAAACGAAATGGGCTTGAGGTCACAATGCCGGACATCTCACTCACTGAACCCTAAACCCTAAACCCTAAACCCTAAACCCTAAACCCTAAACCCTAAACCCTAAACCCTAAACCCTAAACCCTAAACCCTAAACCCTAAACCCTAAACCCTAAACCCTAACGTACCCACGAAACTCCGACCTAACACCTCGGCTTGACCTAAAACTCTAAACCCTAAGCCCAGAACGCCGAAAACCGTCAAGCCCTCCAAGCCCTAAGCTACCTAAAGCCCAAACCCCAGCACCCTCAACCTAGGCCCTCTAAAAAGGGAATAAGGGCCTAAACCCTAAACCCTAAACCCTAAACCCTACACCCTAAACCCTAAACCCTAAACCCTAAATCCTAAACCCTAAACCCTACTCTGGGTCCTAGAACAAACCCCTACCTCCTCGAGTTCTGGGTAGTATCTCCGGGCCAGGCACGCTGAGCCTGAGGCCACCCGGTGTTGTCCAAGGGTTTAGGGTTTAGGGTTTAGGGTTTAGGGTTTAGGGTTTAGGGTGAGGGTTGAGGGTTGAGGCTTTTGGAGGCCAGCTCCCGGCATTTCTGGCCTGTTTTGAGGAACCCTACAGACGCGGGGCCTTTATTCCAATCGGGCCGGTAGAAGGAAGCTCGAGCTTAAGCCCTACACCCTAAACCCGAATTCATGTAGAGAAGAGACCATAGAGGGTTGAGGGTCCCGGCTCGGGTTAAAGTTTTCGGGGGCCGAGGGCTGTCCCCAGGTGAGGGGTTTAGGGTTGCCTACCTTGGCTTTTCTGTGGGGGGGGGGGGGGGTTGATGGCGTATGGGTTTTGAAAGTGAAGTGGCACAAGCTAATTGCATGTAAGGCGAGCCTTTGACTGAGCTGGCCACCCAGTCAAGAGGCTTTACTTGACGGCCATACAAGCACGGGCCCCTCAACTAACCCAACATGGATAAACCCTAAATGCAGCCGAACACCCGAAATTGGGATGTTCCGCCTTATACTGACAGTCCTAAGTAGGGATTATAACAGGGGGTACTGGACTGTTAGTAAAAGGAAGGACATCCCAAACCCCAATCTGCAGTGCGCTGCGACTTCCCTGTGGCATTTCGGAAGAGGACCCCAAAGGGTCTAGGGCTTGGGGTTCAGGTTTAGGGTTTAGGTCCTTGAACCCCCGCTCCCCCCCCATATTCTGGGGAAGCCAGCACGTTGGCTGCTACTAGCACAGGTTGCAATAAGCTTTCACTAACCATCCGCGCTTCTTAACTCGTAGGGAATTCGGGAAATGATAGGAACCATTCAATTGCATTGTCGCCGTTTCCACCGTCTGCGAGGAAAGTGTAGGCACCTGTCTGTGAGCAGCTGCAATTTGGGATGTTCCCCCCTTATACTAACAGTCCTTACTAGGGATTCTCGTGCCCCCGATTCTATTCCCCATTAAGGACTGTTAGTATAAGGGGCAACTTCCCAACTGGCAATCATCACCACATGAGGCCTGCTTCTCTGCCGGTCAGTCACTTCTAAGGTGGATAGCTTGAGCTGCTGCCTTCTTCGCCGGCTCGGGGGCCGTGTCATCTTTCTGGTTTAGGGTTTAGGGTTTAGGGTTTAGGGTTAGGGTTTAGGGTTTAGGGTTTCGCAGAAGATCTGGCTTCTCGTTGGTGCTTTCTGACCTGGCATGCTTCCTCTTTCAGCAAAACGTGCGTCATCTGGAGTCCGGAACCTTACTAAGCCTGAGCCCTACTTCTGAGGGCGGCACAAAAGCACCATACTGCATCCCTAAAGACTAAAACGCCTGAGGGACGCCAGCAAAAGAGCACGAAAACTCCCAAGGCCAGGGGCTTTTGGGAACCCTGAAATCCCTAAAACACTCCTAAACCCTAAACCCTAAACCCTAAACCCTAAACCCTAAACCCTAAACCCTAAACCCTAAACCCTAAACCCTAAACCCTAAACCCTAAACCCTAAACTAAGCTGGGCTTCCTCGCCGAAGTAGAAGGCTCCTATCCAGAACCAGGTTGCCCTCATCAGCCTGGCAAAACAGGGGCCATAGAAACCCAAAGCAAAAACAAACCAAAACCTCAGGGTTTAGGGTTTAGGATTTAGGGTTTAGGGCCATAGGAACCCAAAGCAAAAACAAACACAAAAACCTTAACCCTTGGGATATTCCCCTTTGACTAACAGTCCGAAATAGGGATGATAACAGCGAGTACTATGATCCCCATTAAGGACTGTTTCTATCAGGGGAACATCCCAAGCTTAACCCCAAAATGCCTGACAACAATACCCTAAATTTAACGCACTCAAGACCAGAAACCAAAAACTCAAAAACAAAACATCAACCACGCAATGCCCGAACCGAATCAAAAAACCCTAAACCCTCAGACAAAAACCCGCAAACACAAAAACTAAGAAATGAAACATAAAATGAACAAAAATGAACCAAAACAAAACTGAAACCCTAAATCCTCGAACAAAAGCCCACAAACAAAACCCTAAGGTCTCAAGCTAAGTGCCTTCGGACTCGAGCTCTCAGGGCTGCGACACTTTCTAGACCACACGTTCGTCAAGCCAGAACCGGACAGTGACTTTGGGGTTCTTTGGGGCTCTTGGGGTTCTTTAGGCTTCTTTGGGGCTCTTGGGGTTCTTTAGGGTTCTTTGGGGCTCTTAGGGTTCTTTAGGGTTCTTTGGGGCTCTTAGGGTTCTTTAGGGTTCTTTGGGGCTCTTAGGGTTCTTTAGGGTTCTGTAAGGCTCAAGAAGGGTGTTCTGGAGTTGAGAGTCTTTTTGGAGGCTGAAGGCTTGTTTGAGGGCTAGGGTTGACCCTCTCAGCTGCAGGCAGTCAGACAGGGTTATGGAGCCAAACCGTAAACCCTAAACCCTAAACCCTAAACCCTAAACCCTAAACCCTAAACCCTAAACCCTAAACCCTAAACCCTAAACCCTAGACCCTAAACCCTACACCCAACCACCATAAACCCTGAACCCGAAAAGCACTTTTTGCCCTCCTGCGTCTGCCAGCTTACGGAAGCCAGGGGCTCGCCCCCAGCGCCCCCCCCCCCCCCCCCCCCCCCATGCGACCCCGGAACTGAGAACTTGTCTTTGAGATTTAGGGGTTTGACGACAATGAGGGTACCCTTTTTGGGGGTTCTTATGGTAAGGGAATCATACCATTTTGGGGGTCTACTTAGGGGTTTAGGGGTTTGGGGTTTGGGGTTTAGGGGTTGAGGCTTAAGGTTAAGGGGTTTGGGGGTGTAGGGTCTAGGGGTTTGGGGGTTTAGGGTTTATTGGTTTAAGATAGACCCGTACATAGTAGGATTCCCGTATCAGAAGGACCCCCGAAGAAGGTACCCTTATTTTCGGAAACCCTATTTAGGGCTGAGGTCTTTACAGGTTTAGGGTTACTAGGTTTTCGGGTTTAGGTTCTTTTCTTATCGGTTTAGCGCGAGGTCAAGAACCCTAAACCCTAAACTCTCCGGGCAAGTTTGGGATTCTTAGGGTTTAGGGTTTGGAGTTAGGTTTAGGGCTTGGGGGGGAGGGACATCGTGGGCCCGTGGCGCTGCCAACGGTATGCCAGTCTCAGCATGCCACCACGTAAGAGTCTTCGGCCTGTCCATAGGGGAATAGGGGAGTTTAGCGACCCCTACCCTAACCCCTAAACCCTAAACCTCTCTTTCTATATATATTTAAACCCTGTAGTCCTTCGTGGCTAAGGGTCATTTCTTCGTGGCTAAGGGTCATTTCTTCGTGGCTAAGGGTCATTTCTTTGTGGCTAAGGGTCATTTCTTCGTGGCTAGGGTCATTTCTTCGTGGCTAAGGGCAATTTTCTCGCTAAGGGCAATTTCTTGGTCGCTAAGGGCCATTTCCTGGGCGTTAAGGGTCATTTAAGGGTCATTTCTTCGTGGCTAAGGGTCATTTCCTTCGTGGCTAAGGGTCATTTCCTTCGTGGCTAAGGGTAATTTCTTCGTGGCTAAGGGTAATTTCTTCGTGGCTAAGGGTAATTTCTTCGTGGCTAAGGGTAATTTCTTCGTGGCTAAGGGTAATTTCTTCGTGGCTAAGGGTAATTTCTTCGTGGCTAAGGGTAATTTATTTCTTCGTGGCTAAGGGTAAATTTCCTTCGTGGCTAAGGGTCATTTCTTCGTGGCTGGGTAATTTCCTTCGTGGCTAAGGGTCATTTCTTCGTGGCTAAGGCCCCCCCCCCCCCCCCCCCCCCCCCCCCCCCCCCCCCCCCCCCCCCCCCCCCCCCCCCCCCAATGGGATTCTCTGGGTGGGTGGGTGTTATATCCAAGCCGAAAAAATATAACACTACCATAAAATTGCTCGATCCGGAGCTGCTGAACCCTACACCCTAAACCCTAACCCCCAAATAGTAGGATTCCGTTCTGAAAAGGATTAGGAGTACCTCCCCCGACAGAAAAAGGCCACGGTTGAAGGGTTGAGGAGCTTGGCGGCCGGGGGTTTGAACCCTAAACCCTGAACCCTAAACCCTAAACCCTATGTTGAAGGGTTGAACTTAGGGTTGAAGGTCCAGGGATCCGTTCTGTGTGCAAACACAAACATGCCTCTCAGGGTAGCTACATGGTCCCTCAAGTTGCGCCCCAAGAAGGGGACCCCTTACATACCCCTTCTATACCTAAACCCTAAACCCTAAACCCTAAACCCTATACCCTAAACCCTATACACCCTAAGCATGCCAGACCAGTGCAGGAGAGCTAGAGTTGAAAGGGTCCCGGGTGTAGGGTTCAGGGTTTCTGTCTCGCGTCTGCGACCATGCGGAGCATCCTCGTTGGCTTGGGGTAGTATAGGGTTTAGGGTTTAGGGTTTAGGGTTTAGGGTTTAGGGTTTAGGGTTGAGGGTTTAGGGGTTGAGGGGGTTGGGGGGTTTAGGGTTTAGGGTTGAGGGTTGTAGGGTTTAGGGCTTTATGGGTTGCGGGCTTAGGGCTTGAGAGTTCATCCAAGTTTCATTCCCTCCCCCCCCCAAACCGCCAAACCCGAAACCATACGCACCCTAGCCTTATTATCGCTTGCTAAGAGGGCGCTGCCTGCGACCCAGCAGATGAAACGCCTAGTGGCATGTAGTGGGGCTTGGGGTCTCTGAACCTCAAGTTCTTCGGTTTAGGGTTTAGGGTTTAGGGTTTAGGGTTTAGGGTTTAGGGTTTAGGTTTCTTAGGGTTTAGGGTTTAGGGTTTAGGGTTTTGGGGCTTATGGCTCAGGATGTAGGGCTTCGCGCCGCTAATCCACTGAAGACAGGTTCCGGCCTTCTCCATGCGGTCCGCCTGCAGAGACTTGCGACTGGTCACCAGGACCTGCGCGGTCCTGAAGCTCTGGGTCCCTCCCCCCCTCCCCCCTGCTTGGAGTGGGTAGTGATAAGTAGGGCATCTAGGTTGTTCAGTAACCTAGGATTAAAAAGGGTGCCCTTTTTTGCTTAAAGGGGTTCAAAGGGGAACCTAGAGCCCCCAAAAAGGGAATAAGGGCACTACTGGGCATCCGAGGCATAAGTGTCCTGAGTAGGGTTGTAAGTATGGTCACCAAGAACCCTGCATATGATATCCCATGTGCTACATAGTTTCACAACTTGGAGCCAGGTTCAAGACTTGAAAGCTTGCCAATCATCTGCCCCCCCCCCCCCCCCACACCCGTAAACCCTAAACCCTAAACCCTAAACCCTAAACCCTATCACCAGTCAACATCCGATCAAATTGACAGATTCGGAGTGCCAACTGCGAACATAAGGTTTACAGGGTTTAGGCTTGCCTTAGTAGCCCAGTAACCATTTTCAAGTGAGGGTACCCTTTTGGGGTTGGTTACTTTACAAGGGAACCCAGAACCAAAAACAGGTACAGGGTACCACTGGGCGACAAGTACCATAAACCCTAAACCCTGAACAAACTAAACCCCGTTGCAGCTGATGCTAAACATAACAGCTTGACTCCTGTTGATCCCTCGCGACGCTTTCAGGCTCAAGTCTGACATTTCGATGGGTGATGCCCAAGAGTGCTCACTTCAGGTTTAGGGTTTAGGGTTTAGGGTTTAGGGTTTAGGGTGGGTTTAGGGTTTAGGGTTCTGGGTAGGGTTTAGAATTTACAGACCTGACACGCTTTGTCGCCACAACTCTGCAAATCTCGCCCAAAAGGAGATGGGCAGGCTGTCGTCATGCCATCAAGGCTGCGGTCGCCAGCGCCAACGTCAGCGACCAGCACATCTTGCATGCAGAGCACGTGAACTCGAGGTGCATAGCAGGGCCCTTGTGGTGTTGGTGTAGTTGGTCATTTAGCCACTTCTCAGACTCCACACCTTTGTAGCCCAGTAACCATCTTATAATAAGGGTACCCTTCTTTGGGTTGGTTACTTGATAAGGGGACCTCGAGCCAAACAAAAAAAAGGGAAAAGGGTACCACTGGGCTGCCAAGACACAAGATTGCTTGAGGCAAAGGTTTTCCAAGGAGGCGGACATGTGCTGCCCGAGCTTGGCGGTCACGCTGCAAAGCCGCATGTCCTCTTGGCAGCCCAGTACCCATATTATAATAAGGGCACCCTTTTTTGGGGTCGGGTAGTTTCTAAGGGAAACCAGCAACCCAAAAAAAAGGGAGAAGGTTACCACTGGGCTACCAAGTCCTTGTACTTCTCGCAGAGCTTCTTCTGCTTCGCCCAGATCTCCTCGAACTCCTCGAAGGCCTCCTCGCTCTGCAGAGCGGTTTTCGGGTCCCGCTGCATGTCGTCGGGAAACTCTTTGTCGAGAAATGCCTTCATTTCCTTGCCACCTCAGTGGCACTAGCATGGCTCGGCATGGTGTTTGGACAAACCCCCAAACTGCTTTTCGGGTTTAGGGTCTAGGCTTTAGGGTTTAGGGTTTTGGACTATCTTCTTCTCAGAACATACTACAACCAGAAGGGTTTACCTGCGCCGTACTCTATATTTCTATGTGTATCTGTTCACAAATGCTACTCATCTGGCGTTACCACGACGCTTTACGAAAAACCAAGCTGCATTTATCCACACTCTCCGGAGGCGTCTCGGACGTCTCAGCTGGCTCCCA